AAGTGTAGTTAATGTTATTTCTCTCTTCTCTCATTAAGCCACATCAACCCAATTATTTCTAGCCATTGAATGATAGATATATGGTTCAAATTGTCTCTTCTTTCTTCTCTAATAACACCAAGTAATCTCAATTTTTTTTAGGCCTCAGAATTCATAAGTATCAATTTGTTTTAGTTTTAATACTCATATTTCATCTTATGTGTATATATTGTGCAACTTAATTTTCTGTAGCAACGCGACAATTATTTTTAGCCATTGGATAATAGATCTATGGTTCAAATTGTCTCTTCTTTCTTCTCTAATAACACCAAGTAATCTCAATTTTTTTAGGCCTCAAAATTCATAAGTATCAATTTGTTTTAGTTTTAATATTTATATTTCATCTTATTTGTACATATTGTGCAACTTAATTTCCCGCAGCAACGTGACGGGGTATTTATCTTGTTTATGAATGTACTCGCAGATAAAGTGAATAAATGGTGGATTTGGGGCTACTGGATATCTCCGATGATGTATGCACAGAATGCCGTCTCAGTGAATGAGTTTTTGGGGCACAGCTGGGACAAAGTCTTGAATAATTCTCTCTCCAACGAGACCCTAGGCGTGCAAGCCCTTATGTCCCGTGGAATCTTCCCTGAAGCCAAGTGGTATTGGATTGGCTTTGGTGCATTGCTCGGATTCATCATGCTCTTCAATATTCTCTTTACTCTTGCACTAACATACCTCAAACGTGAGTTCCTTCCGAATTGGTTTGCTATTTTTCTTTCTTTTTTTTTTGATATAAAGCATGGCAGTTCTGCCTCATTTCAAGCAAATAGATAGAAGATAATGCAAACACCAACCCAAAATCCGTAGACTAAACACTAAGATAACAACACAGTGACACAGAAGCACCTCAAAATCATCAAGCTTGCTCATCGTTCTTACCTTAGAATGGTTTTCATCTTCTGATTATACAGCCGATGGTAAGTCCCAACCATCAATATCAGAAGAGGAGCTGAAGGAGAAGCAAGCAAACATCAATGGTAATGTTCTAGACGTTGATACCATGGCATCAAGTAATAATTTAGCAATAGTAGGCAGCACCGGAACTGGTTCAGAAATTGCTGATAATTCTCAACCTACACAAAGGGGTATGGTTCTCCCCTTTACCCCACTTTCACTCACTTTCGAGGACATCAAATATTCTGTCGATATGCCACAGGTAAGTTATTTCAATTTTTTAACTTACAATGTCCACCAGTGAGTCAATGATGATTAATTTATCTTGACCCTCTGTATTAAATTAAAATTCAAATTCAGGAAATGAAAGCACATGGAATAGTTGAGGACCGGTTGGAACTCCTTAAAGGTGTCAGTGGGTGTTTCAGGCCAGGAGTGTTGACTGCACTTATGGGTGTTAGTGGTGCTGGAAAGACTACTCTGATGGATGTGTTAGCAGGGAGAAAAACAGGTGGTTACATTGAAGGCAACATCTCCATATCAGGATACCCAAAGAAACAAGAGACGTTTGCACGTGTATCAGGATACTGTGAACAGAACGACATCCACTCACCTCAAGTGACAGTCTCTGAGTCACTGCTTTTCTCAGCTTGGCTCCGGCTTCCCAAGGATGTAGATTCAAACACAAGAAAGGTCAGTCAAGCAAAATGGTTGTAATTCATTCTCAGCTGATACTCAATGGATAAAATTCCTTAACCTTTATCTATGCAGATGTTCATTGAGGAGGTGATGGAGCTTGTGGAGCTCAAGCCTTTGAGAGATGCTTTAGTTGGTCTTCCTGGAGTTAATGGCCTCTCAATTGAGCAGAGGAAGAGACTGACCATTGCCGTAGAGCTTGTTGCTAATCCTTCAATCATTTTCATGGATGAGCCAACTTCAGGGCTTGATGCCCGAGCAGCTGCCATTGTGATGAGGACAGTGAGAAATACTGTCAATACTGGTAGAACTGTGGTATGCACGATTCATCAGCCTAGTATTGACATATTTGAAGCATTTGATGAGGTGAGCATACGTTGGAATATTTGCTACTTGCTTCGTTATCTTAAATATGACACCATTGACTTTTGATGTGATGTTAGACTATTCGTCCTATTCAAAAAAATATATAAATGTGACGTTTGATGTGATGTAACGTTTTATGTGAATAATGTTCTATGGTCCTAAATCTTTTTAGATAAATGTACATGGTCCTAAATGTTTTATTATTTGCAGCTTTTCCTTATGAAGCGAGGAGGAGAAGAAATATATGTTGGCCCATTAGGCCATCATTCTTCAGAGCTGATTAAGTATTTCGAGGTATACTAATATTACACAAGTTTCAATATACCTCCGTTTGGTTTGTTCAAGACTGTGCTAATCTTATATTGTTTCGTGTTCTCAAGGGGATCCAAGGAGTCAGCAAAATTACAGATGGCTACAATCCAGCCACGTGGATGTTGGAGGTGACAACAGTTTCTCAAGAACAGGCACTGGATGTTGATTTCTGTGACATATACAGGAAATCTGAACTCTTTCAGTAAGTAAATTACTTTTATGTTAAATCCAGTAAATCAAATACTTGACTCATTTGCAATCCCAGTAGTCAAAACTACAATCTCCTTATGTTTTTTATGCCTTTATGGTGGTGACAAACCAACAAGAGTAAATAAGTAGGCTTCAATACAGTTGGTCAAATTTACATGCCTTCTACAGATAATGCATCATACTACTGCAAGTATGCTACTAACAATTTAGCTTGTGATAAAATGCAAGACAATCGGTTTACTCATGCTGTTACATTTTGCAGTAGTATTGAACTTTCTTTTTCTCCAAAGAAGTTTTGTTGTGCCTAGTTTTGTTATAGAATGTTAGCACTATTGTCAAGGTTTGATTTCAGAATACTATGCTATATAGCAAATGGACAAGAGCTAGAGTGGTTCCACTACCACTGCAGCTCTACGACAGAGGAATTGGTGTGCTCCACATGTCAAATTCACATTAATAACTGCAAACTGTTGTGTGACTTGAGTCGCTTTCACATTTTTTTATGTTCATGTATTTGAAATTTCAAAATAATTTAATTTATATGATAGTATGAAATTAAGTCTTTACTTCTACTGGGATAATGATTAACTTTTAAGATAATCTTATCATCAATTAGATTAACATGTGAAGTGACTAGGTACACATGTTTGCCTTTTATGCACTTCATGTACACTTCTCTGAAGTGGGAACTAGGAAGATTTAGGACATTAGGTTCTGAAAGCATTTTAACTAAGAAGTGTCATTTCAACATTTTCCATAGCATCTGTCAGATTATTCAATTCAATATTATACAACTCATAATTGCAATCTGAACATTGGCAATTGATATTCATAGGAGGAACAAGGCATTGATACAGGAACTGAGCACACCACCGCCAGGTTCAAGTGAACTATATTTTCCTACACAGTACTCACAGTCTTTCTTAATTCAATGCCTGGCATGCCTGTGGAAGCAGCACCTGTCATACTGGAGGAATCCTCCTTACAATGCCATAAGACTATTTTTCACTACTGTCATAGCTCTCATCTTCGGTACCATCTTCTGGGACCTTGGTGGTAAAATGTATGCACTTACCATGTAGACATATATGGCGTATGACTAAACCATCTTCAAAATGTAATTTACGCGTCTTTGGCTTCTTGATCCAGGGGCCAGTCACAAGACTTGTTCAACGCCATGGGGTCAATGTATGCTGCAGTGCTGTTTATTGGCGTGCTAAACGGTCAGTCAGTTCAGCCAGTGGTATCAGTGGAGAGGACAGTCTTTTACCGTGAAAGAGCTGCTGGGATGTATTCAGCTCTCCCGTATGCATTTGGGCAGGTACATAGCTCTCATATCAATTCGACAATGCCTGACACTGCTTTGCCTGCTGGTTATCGTATTGCTGAGAAACCTGACAGTTATCAACTTCTCCCTTGCAGGTTGCCATTGAATTCCCGTACACACTTGTTCAGTCTGTCATATATAGCATCATAGTGTACTCGATGATTGGGTTCCAATGGACAGTGGCTAAATTCTTCTGGTACCTCTTCTTCATGTTCTTCACGCTGCTATACTTCACATTCTACGGCATGATGGCTGTGGGCCTAACACCAAGCTACCATGTCGCCTCAATCGTCTCCTCGGCTTTCTATGCCATCTGGAACCTCTTCACCGGGTTCGTCATCTCCAGACCGGTAACCACCACCATCCTTATGGCCCCTGCATTTAATTTTGTTTCATCATTTCTATAGCTCAATTCCATTTTCCCTGGACCGTGTGCTCAGGCAACTCCAGTCTGGTGGAGATGGTACTGCTGGATATGCCCTGTAGCATGGACACTATACGGGCTGATTGTCTCGCAATATGGAGATATCGTGACGCCGATGGATGATGGCATACCCGTGAATGTCTTCGTGGAGAACTATTTTGACTTTAAGCACAGCTGGCTGGGTTTCGTGGCTGTGGTGATCGTCGCATTCACCATGTTATTTGCCTTCCTGTTTGGCTTTGCCATCATGAAGCTCAACTTCCAGAAGAGATAGTGATTGATAGGGACTAGGAAACAGGTCCTAAACTAGGAATTAGATCGATTGATTTGCATATACGAATTAATTTGTGCATATCGGTGTAGAACATGAAAAAAAAGTTCGAAATGTTTGTTGTAGTGGTCTTGTAAATTTTGGTGGTTTGTTCTCTTCCTTTCCTTTATAGTTGGAATTAAACATCTGTACACTAATTTGTAAAATATGTGCTGGGAGTGGTACATTCTTTATCAATGAGAGATTCAAAAATGTTAATTTTTTAAACGAGCAATGTTTATACACACCCATCAATATCTCCTTGGAGCAGTCAAATTTAGTACTTTCTAATTGAGTTGAAGATGAAAGGAGGTGTCTTACTGAACTTTATCATACGTCTTGATCTTGTTAACACTATGCCTACTTAACCATGGAAGCAGACAGCAGCAGATGACTAGTGATCTGCAAGCAGATGGAATGGCATGCAATTCGCTCAAAAGAAGAAGTTGAGTAGCACAAATGGCTAAGGGTTCCATCGCAGTAAAGATACAGCGCATTGTCCACAAATAAAACGCCAAGAATTTGCAGCTCTAACTACCTCCGTCCCAAAATAAGTCCCAAAATAAGTGCAACCATAGATATTTGTGTTTAGCACTTTGACCATCCGTCTTATTTGAAAAAAAATATAAAAAATATTAAAAAAATTAGTCACACATGAAGTACTATTCATGTTTTATCATCTAATAACAATAAAAATATTAATCATAATCTTTTTTTAAATAAGACGAATGGTCAAACGTTGAACTTAAATAGTGCTAAAACTGCACTTAGCATGAATAGTGCTAAAATTGCACTTATTTTGGGACAGAGGAAGTAATTGTGAAATAAGGCAGTGCTATGCTTAGCAAGAGATGGTGCAGGAGAGATTTCGTTTGATCTGAATGAATTCAATGCAATCCAAGATTTGTCTCAACGGCATCTTCCCTCGTCAGCTTGATTACTCCGTATCAGTGCTGAGTGCTGACAAGTGGATATAAATATCTCAAAAAAAAAAAGAGAGAACACGGACGAACCACCAACCCCATGACCCCAGTGCGAGAGTTCCCGGCAAATCCGAGACAAACTGAGATACAGCAACAACGAGAACTTACTTGGGCGCGTGGATGAAGCGCGCGGTGAACTCCCCTTGGCGGCTTGGCCCCCCGGCGATCGGGAAGACCGATCCCGCCGCCGCGCGGCGCCACCTCCGTTTGCAGGAGGGAGAGGCAGGTACGGGCGTAGGGGCGTAGGGCTTCTCCCGTGTTATATATTGGGCTGCGAGAACGGCTCGCTGAATCAGCTTTGGGCCTTCTATTGGGCCCATTTGGTACAGAAATTCGATTTTGTTTTTCCTTTTTTCCCCCTACCGTTTTATTACTGGGCTCCCATACTACGCAGAATTTTTTTTTTTGCTTGGGAATTTTGGTGCAATTAAGCTGAAATGTCCACAATATGCAATGCAGAAGGGGTTATTAGAGACCTACCCGTTCTTTTTTTTTATTAAGATGCATATTCTACTTTGGTTTCCGTTAGCACGTTTTTTAAACTGCTAAATGATGCGTTTAATGCAAGAAATTTATATATACACCTGGTAAAATTTGGGATGTTGCTAGTTTGTGAGACATTGATGTGAGAGGTTTATCCTTTAGTTATTTATTACGTAAGATCGTTTGCCAAAGTCCCTCTCCATTTACTAGTTGGAAGAGCCATTTACTTAGCAAATATCTATTCTTTACATATTCTGTGCATCAAGATTTTATAGATACCTAATCCACCTTGATCTTTTGGTAATACACTACTAAAAAAACCATTTTTGTAGGCGGCCAAAAGTATTTTTTTCAGGCATGGGGGAGGACCGACTGCAGCCCAACAACTACGAAAATCGGGGCAACAGCCTGCCTGCGAAAATCCAATAAAAAAAAGCACTACGTGCCTCGCCGCCGCCGCTGCCCTCCCCCGGCCGGATCTGAGAGGGGAGGGGAGGGGAGCCGCCACCGGACACCCTGCACATCATCGTTGCCGCCGCCCCGCGCCGTCGTCGCCGCCGCTGCCCCCGCCGGCCTCCTCCCTCCCTCCTCCGGCCAGATTGGGAGGGAGGGGGGAGGGGAGCCGCCGCCGGTGGAGGGAGGGAGGGGAGGGGAACGGCCTGGCCGGTGGAGGGATCGGAGAAGTGTTGAGGGAGAGAGAGAGGGAGAGTTGAGAGGGGGAAATGAGTGGTGGGGAGGGGGTGGAGGAGAAGATAAGACTTAGATTTTTTTTGGGGTAGGTACGATTTTCGCAGGCGGACAGCAAACTTCACCCCGATTTATATTTTTATAGGTGGTCATTTGGCTTCAAAGGTCATGTCCGTCTGTGAAAAAAAGACCCCCACATCGGGAAAAATGCATTTTCTAGTAGTGATATATAATTTCCCTGTATTTTCTTTTTTTATCACCACTACTCCCAAAAAAAAGTGTGATCTGTAATACTTCAATCTTTGAAGAACACCTCAAGGAATTTTAAAGAATGATAGCACGAACAGTAGGAGCTCGAAAAAACTGAGTTAAGAAGGTATAATCTCCCACCATAAGAGATATTTTTGCCCTTTCATGTGCTAAGCTTTCTGAAGGATTCAGAATTACAACCGAAAAGCTTCCTATATTAACCCTTCATTTCCTTAGCTTTTCCGAAGCAAAAAGATATCAATTATGTGACAATTTATTTTTAATCCTGAAAGTTGTTTGAAAATGCATAAGATGACCTTCAGGTTTTTGGCTTGTTCAAGGTCATGGTCTACAAAGATAACCATCCTCGTTACTTAATCTTCATCTTCATTAGAGTTGCCTTCAGTTGTGGTATGCAATTTTTGCAAACTACTTCCATTTTGTACTCTATGTATTAGCCCATTCTCACACGCTAATAAGGCCTTCACACATGATATCACTAATTGTTGATACCATCCATCAGTTGGGAACATAAATCGGGTGAGTCTGATACGCGATCGATCGCACGTCCCGACCGCGCGCGATCACGTCCCCGTGCGGCGCCCCTCGCTACTTCACCCACACGGCCTATTGTTTGCAAGGAACCCACTTATTTCATGCCCTTTTTCTTTCTTTTCTATGTTTGGCCCATGTATTCTCGACCCAATTAAAAATATTTTTATATATAAACTTTACATATACATAAACTTTCGATATGGAAAAATTTAAAATATAAATTACTAGCAAAAGTGCCCGTGCGTTGTAACAGGAAGTGTACAGACCAGAAAATTGAGGAAAAGTTAAGAAAAACTTACATTATGTAATTAATTAAAATACAAATTTGTTGAAATATTTAGTATTTGTAAGTAGGTAGATGTATAATTAAATCAATTTATAAGTAAATCAAGTGTGAGAAATAAAATGACATGGTTAAATTTAATTTTATTAAATTCTCCATAATTAGTTACGCTCTTTAGAATTTTATTGGAATTATCAGAGCTTAATTGTTAATTTTTAATAATACAAACATCATTTAACAATATTTTAATTAGAAAAAGGAATCAAAATCCTCCCTTCTAGGTTTGGACCGAATATAGAAAAGTTTATATTCCCTCCCTTTGTCTATTCTATGTGTCTGGCCTGTTTTCTTTCTCATTTGAAGTCCATTTTGTATCCTCCATTCGGTGGCCCAATATGCCGGCGGCCCGACACGGAAGCATCTGGAGCCGTCCGATCGAATGGACGGTCCAGATTAATCCTAACCTAAACAAATATACCCAAACCCTAACCCTAACCCTAGGATTCATTTTCCCCACTTCCCCCGCCCCCAATCTCCCCCAAGCGTCGGCGGCGGCGGCGCCCCCCTCCCCCGAGCGGCTGTGGCGGCGCGGAGCAACAACCGGCGAGCGGCGCCCCCGATCCCCTCTCTCAAAGCGACGGCGGCGGCGCCCCCCCTCATCTCCCTCTTGCCTCAGCCGCAGCAGGTTGGTGGTGGCCGCGGCGGATCCGAGGGGGGAGGGCGGCGTCGGCGGCGACGACGGTGGCTCCCTCCACCCCCTCTAGCCTCCCTCCTGCGGCAGATCCGTCGGTGGTGGCGGCGGCGGCGGTAGCCGCGGGTGGATTTGGAGGTGGTGGCAGCGGCTGCGGGCGGATACAGCGGCGGCGGCTCCCTCCTCCCCTCTCGCCTCCCTCCTGCCCCAAATCCAGCGACGATGGTGGTGTCGGCGGCGTCGGTGGGTGGGTCTGTCGGTGGACGCGGCGGCTCCCTTCTCTCCTCCCGCCCCAGTTCCGGCGGTGATGGATCCGGTGGTGGTGGCATCATTGACGGCGGCCGCAGATGGATCTGGCGGCGGCGACGACGGCCAAGGGTGGATCCAGCGATAGGGAGTGAAGTTTTGTGATGTATGTTGGATGATTATTTTTGTAATTTTGTGATGATTGTGATTGATTATTTGGGCAAAGTTTGGTTGAATTTTGTTTTTTTTTTTTCGGTGTGTTCATCCGATTTGGTTGTGTCGATTTTGGGATGTGTTTCCCTGTATTCAATTCTGAGTGCAATAGGGATTCGGGGGGTTTTGAAGGCGCACCGCGAGGGACGAAGGCGCCTTTCGTCCCACTTATGACGATAGGAAAAATCCGAATATTTATATTAGTTATAGATTAGTGCAGAAGCTTTATGGATAGAGATTTTAAGCCAAATTAATAAAACAGTCTCCAAAAATAAAAAAAACAAAAAACATTGGGCCATTCCTTTACTGTCTTGCCCTGGGCAGCCCACGAACCATCCAAAAAATGAGAAGTAAACGACCTAACCAAATAACAGCTAGGCCGAAGCCCAACCAAATAGAAAGGAACAAAAAAGGAATAAGTTCATCTGAGATCCCTTAACTTGTCAACGAATCCGATTTAAACCAGATACAATGGGTCCCTCAACTATCAAAACCGGTGCAATATAGGTCCTATAGCGGTTTGGACGGCGGTTTTAGCTGACGTGGCGTCTACGTGGCTAATTTGACTCGGTCTTCATCTGACGTGGCATTGACATAGCGCTTACGTGGCAATTTGATTTGGAAAAAAACTGTGACCCCACATGTCAGTTACACAAAAAAAAAATGGTGGGCTCCACATGGGCCCACATGTCATTCTCATCCCATACTCTTCTTCCTCCTCTCTCCCCATCTACCCTCTCTTCATCTCTCTCCAGGCGCGACCTCGGCGGCCCCGCCGCCGATTCCTCCTGCTGCGCTGCGGCACGTCGGGCAGGAGCCTTGCAAGACCAGCCACAGCCAGGCGTCGACGCACCGGACGTGGAACCCGTGACTGCAGCGCGGCAGCACGCGCACCTTCTCGCCGTCCGCGAACTCGCCGCGACAGATGGCACACACGTCGGTCTCTGTCGTCTCCTCCCCGCCGTGGTACACCTCCACCGGGATGCTCCTCAGTGCGCTCTTCTTGATGCCACTGCCGCACGCCACCCCGCCCTCCGCTCCTCCTGCGCCGCCGGCGCCACCTGCGGCAGCCGCGCCCCGGCCCCCTCACGGGAGCGCGCACCGTGCCAGCGAGTTGTGCCCAATGGCGAATTGGAGAGTCTAGAAGAGCGCCGCTGCCCGCTAGGATGATAACTAAGTTGGTGTTGAAGCTTGTGTTCACCCTCCCCGGCGGCGGCGCGCCTCCGCCGCCACCACTGCTCTACAACACTGGCCGTGCCGCCTCGACCAGGCGCGTACCGAGGAAAATCCGACAAAATTAGCTACGGATTAGTTAGTTCAATCAACTCGCCAAGCTAGCTAATGCCATCGCACATGCATGCCTTGTGCTTGTGCAATAATAATTTGCACTGTTACTGTAACATCTGTCCTGCCCCGCCCACAGGACCACTTGCCCGACACGGCCGCCCGCAAGAATGGCGGTGACGCCGTTGCCAAAGAGGGAGGAGAACCCATCGTTGCCGTTTCGGTCGGCATGTGGTGCACGCGTGATCTCCGGCAAGCCGACGCGATTTAAGAGCTTCCATCCATCGTCGTCTCGCCAGCACGAGAACACCCTGAGCTTGCACGCCGCCGCGACACGGATGAGGCTTAGGGCCGAGACCAGGAGGAGGAAGATTTGTTCGAGGAGCGCGTCGGAGATGCCGCTGCACGCTCCTCAAACCCGCCGTCGCCGGCGTGACACAACGTTCTCTCAGATTCTTCACCTTCGTCCCATTGTCATGCCGATGAGTAGGCGAGCAGCGGCGGTGGCGCAGGAGAGGCCGCACCCGACACCTGGAGAGAGATGGAGATGGGAGATGGGGAGAGAGGAGGAAGAAGAGGAGGGGATGAGAATGACATGTGGGCCCATGTGGGGCCAACCATTTTTTAATTTTTTTAACTGACATGTGGGGCTGTCGTTTTTATTATTTTCCAAATCAAATTGCCACGTAAGCGTCATGGCAATGTCACGTCAGATGAAGACCGAGTTAAATTAGCCACGTAGGCGCCACGTCAGCGAAAACCGCCGTCCAAACCGCCAAGGGACCTATATTGCACCGGTTTTGATAGTTAAGGGACCCGTTGTATCTGGTTTTCCGGTTGAAGGACGAAATTCGGATTCATTAACAAGTTAAGGGACCTTAGATGAACTTATTCCAATAAAAAAATAATTGCGAACGGCCCAAGCCCAATACGAGCGAGCGAGAAACGGTAAGGGGAAATCGATTGTTGGGCTAGAAACGGAAGGGGAAAAATGATAGCTTCGCCAACATCCAAGCGAGCGATCGCCCATTAGGAATTTCGAGACACTGATAACTATACGGTTCAACACTATAGCTTATCAGTGTTGTGATGTTTCATTTTGTTATCACGAGTATCAGCAACATATTTCATTAGACTGATACTGACATCGCGGTTCTGCAGAAGATGTTTCGTTGTTCTCCTTCGGCACACCCTACCTTGCGCTGTCTATATAGTGGCGCCAAGGCGAGGTGTGAGTCGTGACAATAATCAACCAGCAAGCAGACTTCTGAGAGCTATCGGAATGCGTAGCCATGCTCAATGGAAGGGTGAGGCCGGAAGCCTTGCCTCTCCATTGCCGTGGCGAGAGCGAACGGAGAGAGGAAGAGGGATAATGGGGAACTTCAATCTTAATTAATCCAAATGAAAAGTAATACAATGCTCTATAGAGAGGATGAGGCTAACAATTATCAACAGTAAGCAACTAATTGACTGAAGAAAGGGGTAAAAAAAATCAAAATGCATAACAAATTGATTTGATCCTGCTTAAGGGTGCAAGTGGGTTGTCGCGCGTGATTTCGCGAATCCACTTGTAGTACAAATAAGTTTGATGTCCTCTAGCGCTCTGCTTCTACTTCTACACAACAATGTTCCTAGTGCTTAAACGTTTTGACACTGCCCTGCACCGGTGGTGGATCGCTCCAGGATGCCACCGTGAGTAAGCAAAGCCCAAAGATGTGTGATGAATTCTCCTCCCCTTGTCAAAGTTTCAAGGCGCTCCCTAGCATCATCCGATGGTGCGAGGTACAGCACCATCTCTGCCCAGAAATCACTCAGCACCTTCCATCTCCGCGACGGATTTTCTATCTCCAGCAACTGGCATCCCAGCCGAGCGCCCAGCACGATGAGGCGATTGTCGCCACCATTTTGCTCCATGTCTGAAACCTTCCCGATCTCCTTTAGCTTTTCGCAGCGCTGCTCAAGTGTCTTCAAATTCAGTAATTCCTGGGTGGCCTCGTCAACCAGGGCATCAAATATGGTTTGGGAGACGAAGCTATGATCCGGTAACAATTCCGGAGCAAAGGCTACTAGGTAGGCACAGTACCTTGACAAGCTACAAGCTACGTCCTTATAATTAGTAGTAGTACTGTCCATTCGGTGTCGCTCTTCGTCTTCCACCTCACAAAGAGTAGTGGCGATGTGCCAAGCTATTATGGTGTGTGTTGTTGTTCGAACAGTGGTGCATGACCATGAGAGCTTCCGGAATACCTCTATCCCATTAGCTTTTAAAGATTTGACCCCGTTCGTCAATTGGCCGTTGCTACTCCTCAGTGTGTCTATGACGGCTTTCTTTACCTTCATGGACAACCTGACACGCTTATCTTCCTTGCGTCCTTTTTTCGTCCTATCGACCAAGAACATGGTGGCATAGTACATAAAGTTTATTGGTATGTAGTCGACATTTTTTAGCAGTGTGTACTGACCAAGCTTATCTTCCCAGCTCCGGAAGGACTTGAAGCTCGTGATGCACCCAATCAAGTTGGCAACCCATTGGCGACTGCTCCATGATTCTCTAGCAACGTATTTTGAAATCAGGGCTACCTTGCACCATGCAGAAGCCAGGTATATGTACACCTGTAAACCCTCAACCAGTGCGACTCCGATTATCAGCACAGCAGTGATGAGGGCGTCGAAGTTGTTGTTGTGATCATCGATGAGCTTGAGTTCATCATTGGGAACGTGGACACGCTGGAACAGCATGTAGGCAAGCCAGCCGCAGAAGGGGATCATGGCACAAGACAGGACAGTGTCGTCATGGCGATACATGTAGATAACGAAGTACTTTGTGTAGAAGTAGTCATGCACGAAGGCTAACTCAACCTCGATGACCCTGAAGGCTCGTTCGACGTACTTTTGGCCATGGAGCAGGCCACGGAAGAGGAAGTCGTGGGTCTTGTCTAGCTCGGATTCGACGAGCTTGTGAAATCCGGCGAACCTACGGTTGAGCATCTTTGACAGGGCCATGGAGAGGCAGACGTCCTTGAGCTGACCGGCGCGGTCGCCGTCGCCGCAGAGCAAGCTCCCGTTGCATCGCCAGATCTGTTCAACGGTGACTAGCTTGGCCTTGGCACGATCATCGCCGTCAAGCTTGGACACATACTCGGGGGCTTCCACCTTGCGCCTCTGCTTCTCCTCTCCGGCAACGACGTAGCGGTAGCCACGCATGGTGACGGGGTCCCACTCGCCGGCGGTGGACAGCTCGCGCTCGTAGGTCATGTAGTCGGCCACCCATTTGGTGCTCTCGGAGAGCATGGATCGTCTACTGGCTAGCTTGAATGACAGGATCCGCGTGCCGGATTTCAATACGACGATGACGTATATGGGCCAAAGAACGTAGCGGAAATCCGAGCCGGCACCGGAGGAGACCATCAACCAACCCACCCAGAAAGAGTGGATGAGCTGTTCGAAGTAGAATCTCTTCCAGTTGTCGTTGTCCTGTAGCCTATAGGCGGACAGGGAGTCGGCGCTGCCGAGGAAGATGAAGAGGATGATGGCCCAGACGGAGAAGAGGCTGTTCTTGTAAGGGGACGACTGCATCAGCCCCAGGGTGTAGCTCACCATGGGGATGGAAGCAGCGTACGCCACCCAGATGCTCACCCTGACGGCATTGCGGCTCGACTGCCGCCGGTAGGAGCCGAGGATGAGGAGCACAAACAGCGCTGCAACGCCCAGCAGCACCAGGACTTCGATCCGGACCAATCTCGCCATTGGGCTGTTGAGCCCGGAAACCATATCGACCACGGCGACGAATCCCATGATTATTTTAGCTAGCTGTTGATGGTGTGGTTATCGCAGTGGCACGACAAGTATCACGGACCTCATGTGGATATATATATCATTATCATCTGCTCTAGCTTTTGCATGAACTGCATCGATCGATCACGTACCAGTCCTTCAGTTCTTACATATATATATATATATATATATATATATATATATATATATATATATATATATATATATATATATTATATACATACACAAGTAGAACGGTCCAGTGGTGCTAATCTAAACTAATTCCACATTTCCACTGGTTGTTTTTTAGGTGATCCACTCAGAACCTCATGAGGATCATTATCTGCTCTCTTGCACTCGAGGCACAGTCGTTAAAACCGACTGAATTAAGGCGGTTGATTTAAACCAGTGTGTAGTCCGATCCAGTTTCAACCAAAGGCCAGTGCACCGCGGCTAAAAACCATGGGTGCTCTCCAACTGGCTGACAGATTTTACATGGTTTGAAGCACCTATAAAACATTCGACAGTGTTTTAATTAGGAGAAAAACTTTCAAATGTAACTAGTTTATAATTGCAATGTAACTATTATATAACTTATATAACTAGTATTTAACTTAATCTTTTCTTTTAAAAACACACATCATCGCTAGTGGCTACTGCAGCTAACTTGAAAGCACACATCATCATCCTCCTTGTTTGTGCGCAAGTATTTTTTTTATCTCGGTAGCACGAATCTTAAAGAACATCTGACGGTGGAAAATTTGAAAGTTTTGAGAAAATAAATTTATCGAAAGTTTTTTAGCAAAACCGTATATATATGTACGTGTGGTTTATAACAATCTTTCTTACTTTAATAGTCCATATAAATATGTTTTAATGTAATCAATTTTGGTCTCTCAACTCATAACCTAGATTTTTAAAAAGGGAAAAGTCTAGTTTTAGCCCTTGAACCTTTCTCAAAGTCTACTTCCACCCTAAACTATAAAATCGGTTATTATTCATCCTTGACTTTTAGAACATGCATAAAGAAAAACCTTGTACCCAAGGTTAGAGATTTTGGTTCGAAATTTTGGACCCCCCAAGCAAGCAACTATCTCGGCCGAAATTTTTTGATTTTCCTTTTTTTAATGTGGTTTAAATATATTCAAATTCAGTCCAAATTTGTTGAACTTTAAAATAATTTTGTGCAAAAGAGTACCAAAATCCCAAAATTTACGAAATTTTGGTGACCACTTCCGAATTTTTGGTGGTTTCTGAAAGTGTGGACCCTGCTTGTACCATGGTTTTGTTTGGATTGACAGTGGTTTTCACTAGCACAATCCCGTTATACATGTGCTGCTGACATCAATGCCACTTATTAATAACTAGGTACACATCAACGCTATTATAGCAAACAATAGTTCATGTTAGCGAACTGTAATACCAATTCAAACAGTAGTGAATATATAGTCTACTGCGCTATTTGTCAGGTTTGTAAATATTACAGTAAATAAAACAACTGGTTCTAGAATTAAGGTGCAAAATAGAATTTGCGAAAAATAAGGATACACTACTAGAGAAAACGTTTTTCTAGACGAGACCCCCAATAGATTCCAAACGGATTGTAAGTGTCCGTGTATGCAAAAATCGACCCATATTCCACATACGGCTTGTTAAGAGGAGCGCATGCAAAAAAAATTATTTTTGCAGGCGGACCTCGTAACGGACCGCGCATGCAAAAATAAGCCTACTTTCACATGCGGTGCTATTAAGGAGCCACATACAAAACTCTATTTTCGCAGCGGACGCTTAAGTTGTCCGCTTGCAAAAATACCCCCTCTTTTTTTTCTCTCCTACTCTCTGTTTCCCTTCTCAACCCTTTAAAATTTTTCACCCGTCTCTTTCCCTATCTGATATTTCTCCCCTCTACTCTCTTTCTCTCCTATCCTCTCCTCTCGTTCTCTCTCCTCTCCTCCTCCGAATCCACGTGGGCGGAAGCGGGCAGCGACGCCGATGAGGAGGCTGGCTGTTGGGTGCGGCGGCGGGCGGACGGTGAGGGTGCGACGGATGGTGGCTACGCAGCCTCCGCAACGGTGGCGGCTCTGCCGCCCTCGGGTGCGGCTGTGGCTTGGCGACGGTAGGCGGCGGATCCGGCGGCGCCGTCCTCGGGAGGAGGGGGAATCCGTCGCACTTGGGTGCAGTGGCGACCTCGGCGACAGCAGGCGGAGGATCTGGCGGCGCCGCCCTCAAGGAGGGGGGGAGGGACGCCGGTGAAGGAGCGGGTGGCGGCGGGAGTTAGGGTTTGGCTTTTTTTTTGAAATTTTATTTTTTTCATGATTTTTTATTTTTGCATGAGGTCCTCATAAGCACCCGCATGGAAAAATCGTGATCTTTACAGACCTTCTCGTGCGGACGGCTAGCCCAACCGCATGGAAAGATTGATTTTGACGGTTTGGGAAAACCTCTTTCATAGCAGTGATAAAAATTGAATTTTATTTCTTCTTTTTACAAATGGTTTTGTATATATTGAGAATACTTCCGAGTTCCAATTCATGTGTCAGTGCAGAGTTCTATGTACGTTATATGGTATTTCCTCCGGTTTTATTTTAATTGACGTTTTGGACAACGACACGGTCTACAAAATATACCTTTGACATTATATTTCTATTATAATATATACAATAAATAAATATATGTTTACTTTTATATATTATATATATTATAGTGCTTTGAAAGACAGATCTATATTTGTTGTTTTAGTTTCTAAATATTTTTAAAGTTATTAATGGTCAAAGTTATAAAATTTTGATGTCCAAAACGTCAATTAAAATGAAACCGGAGAGAGTAAAACTGATATGAAACCCACCCGAAATCGGCCGAAACTATGGGCGCAGATTAATTTGCTTCTTCCGTTGACTTGTTCATCATGTGGGCAAACTGCATTACTTTATAAGAGAGTGGACTTTGTAGATCAACCAACAAATAATTTTAAATAATTTTACAAACGCTCCAACAATTTGTTAAGTAAGGTGTACATGCACCGAATTTGGAACACAACGACAAGAGGACATTAATTAATAAGCAAGGCCGCTGAGATCCCAAGCCAAGTAACACTGGAATGGCGTCTATGGCTTGATTAATTTGTGCCTTTCTAATAAAAAAATTGTTAGATCACCACATGAACTGCATCGATCGATCACGTACCTGTCCTTCAGTTCTTATAATATGTATAAATACACAAGTAGAATGGTCCAGTGGTGCTAATCTAAACTAATTCCACTGGTTGCTTTGCGTGATCCACTCAGAAGTCAGAACCTCATGAGGATCATTATCATGCTCTCCTGCACTTGAGGCACAGTCGTTAAAATCGACTGAATTAAGGCGGTTGATTTAAACCATTGTGTAGTTCGATCCAGTTTCAACCAAAGGCCAGTGTACCGCGGCTAAAAACCATGGGTGCTCTCCAACTGGCTGACAGATTTTACATGGTTTAAAGTACCTATAAAGCATGCGACCGTTTTTTAGAGAAAAACTTTCAAATGTAACTTGTATGCAATGTAACTGTTATATAACTAGTATGCAACTTAATCTTTTCTTTCACAAACACACATCATCGCTAGTGGCTACTGCAGCTAACTTGCAAACACACATCATCATCCATTCATCCTCCTTGTTCGTGCGCAAGTATTTTTTTTATCTCGGTAGCACAAATCTTAAAGAGCATCTTACTGTGGAAAATTTGAAAGTTTTGAGAAAATAAATCCGTCGAAAGTTTTTTTTAGCAAAACCATATATATACGTACATGTGGTTTATAACAATCTTTCTTGCTTTAATAGTCCATATAAATATGTTTTATTGTAATCAATTTTGGTCTCTCAACTCATAACCTAGATTTTTAAAAAGGGAAAAGTCTAGTTTAAGCCCTTAAACCTTTCTCAAAGTCTACTTTCGTCCCTAAACTATAAAATCGGTTATTATTCATCCTTGACTTTTAGAACATGCATAAAGAAACACCTTGAACCCAAGGTTAGAGATTTTGGTTCGAAATTTTGAAAATTTTTAACCCCCCCCAAGCAAGCAACTATCTCGACCGAAATTTTTTGATTTTCCTTTTCTTTAATGTGGTCTAAATATATTCAAATTCAGTCCAAATTTGTTGAACTTTAAAATAATTTTGTGCAAAAGAGTACCAAAATTTACGAAATTTTGGTGACCACTTCCGAAATTTTGGTGGTTTCTGAAAGTGTGGACCCTGCTTGTACCATGGTTTTGTTTGGATTGACAGTGGTTTTCACTAGCACAATCCCGTTATACATGTGCTGCTGACATCAATGCCACTTATTAATAACTAGGTACTCCCTCCGTTCCACAATGTAAGTCATTCTAGCATTCTCCACATTTATATTGATGCTAGTGAATCTAGACATATATATCTATCTAGATTCATTAACCTCAATATAAATGAGGGGAATGCTAGAATGACTTACGAAGTACACATCAACGCTATTCTAGCAAACAATAGTTCATGTTAGCGAACTGTAAGACCAATTCAAACAGTAGTGAATATATAGTCTACTGCGCTATTTGTCAGGTTTGTAAATACTACAGTAAATAAAACAACTGGTTCTAGAATTAAGGTGCAAAATAGAATTTGCGAAAAACAAGGATACACTACTAGAGAAAACGTTTTTCTAGACGAGACCCCCAATAGATTCCAAATGGATTGTAAGTGTCCGCGTATGCAAAAATTGACCCATATTTTCACATACGGCTTGTTAAGAGAAGCGCATGCGAAAATCTATTTTTGCTGGCGTACCTCTTAACGGACCACATGCAAAAGTAAGTCTACTTTCGCATGCGGTGATCTTAAGGAGTCGCATGCAAAACTCTATTTCGCGTGCGGACGGTTAAGTTGTCTGCATGCAAAAATACCCCATCTTTTTTTTCTCTCCTACTCTCTCTCTCTCTCCCTCGTCAACACTTTAAAAATTTCACCCGTCTCTCTCCCTCTCTGATATTTCTCCCCTCTACTCTCTTTCTCTCCTATCCTCTCCTCTCCTC